AATAGGAAAGTCTATTCCTATATTTATTCTAACAGCAAATCCTATTTAGACATGAATTAAATAAACCAAATTCTAAATAACTAAGGTTTCCTACTAGAACTTTGAATTAGTTTTTCGAGGAAATATTTTATTAAAACTCTCTGAAAGCTCTCTCCAATTCTCACAAATCTCCACACATAAAATAATCTATCAATACCCCTATTTATAATAGTATGAATCCTATTTCAACTAGAAATAGGAAAGTCTATTCCTATATTTATTCTAACAGCAAATCCTATTTAGACATGAAGTAAATAAACCAAATTCTAAATAACTAAGGTTTCCTACTAGAACTTTGAATTAGTTTTTCAAGGAAATATTTTATTAAAACTCTCTGAAAGCTCTCTACAATTCTCACAAATCTCCACACATAAAATAATCTATCAATACCCCTATTTATAATAGTATGAATCATATTTCAACTAGAAATAGGAAAGTCTATTCCTATATTTATTCTAACAGCAAATCCTATTTAGACATGAATTAAATAAACCAAATTCTAAATAACTAAGGTTTTCTACTAGAACTTTGAATTAGTTTTTCGAGGAAATATTTTATTAAAACTCTCTGAAAGCTCTCTACAATTCTCACAAATCTCCACACATAAAATAATCTATCAATACCCTTATTTAATAGTATGAATCCTATTTCAACTAGAAATAGGAAAGTCTATTCCTATATTTATTTTAACAGTAAATCCTATTTAGACATGAATTAAATAAACCAAATTCTAAATAACTAAGGTTTCATACTACAACTTTGAATTAGTTTTTCAATATTCTCCCGTAATTCAAAGTTGTATACGCCTGACTTGTTCGTTTTGCAGTTATGTTGGAGCACTTCTCTCCAACTTTCACTTTTGATGAAGCACATGTCTCCACCCCTCAATTTGTTGAAACACTTCTCTCCAACTCATGTTGATGCACTTTGTCACTAACACTCAAATTTTGTTGAAGCACCTGTCTTCAACTCACGTTGATGCACTTTGTCACCAACACCCAATTTTGTTGAAGCATCTGTCTCCAACTCACGTTGATGCACTTTGTCACCAACACCCAATTTTGTTGAAGCATCTGTCTCCAACTCACGTTGATGCACTTTGTCACCAACCATTGATGCACTTTGTCACCAACACCCAATTTTGTTGAAGCATCTGTCTCCAACTCACGTTGATGCACTTTGTCACCAACACCCAATTTTGTTGAAGCATCTGTCTCCAACTCACGTTGATGAACTTTGTCACCAACTGTTGATGCACTTTATCACCAACACCCAATTTTGTTGAAGCACCAGTCCTAACTCCCAATTTTTTTAAACCTCTCTCCAACTTTTAGAGAAGAGTTTCTTCCTCTTGTGTCATGTTTGTTTGCACCTCTTTAAACTTATTTTTTTTGAATCTGTTTTGAAACTTTTCATCGAATAGTCTAATTATGTTGACAACTATCTATAATTTTGCCAACATATACTTTGGCCAGACGGGCAGCACACATTAGCTAGCGCCGCCCGCCGGCAGCGGAAACTACTTGATTCTCTCCCAACGTAGAAGCTCTAATACCAATTTGAAGGAAAATATTTTATTAAAACTCTCTGAAAGCTCTCTACAATTCTCACAAATCTCCACACATAAAATAAGCTATCAATACCTCTATTTATAATAGTATAAAACCTATTTCAACTAGAAACAGGAAAGCCTATTCCTATATTTATTCTAACTACAAATCTTATTTAGACATAAATTAAATAAAGCAAATCCTAAATAACTAAGATTTCCTACTATAACTTTGAATTAGTTTTCCAATAGTTTGCATTATTTTCTTTTCTTTTTAGCCTAAGCAAAAATTTTAGACTTTCAAGAGTTAGTATAACTAGGTCAAAAACAAAAACAAAAACAAACAAACAAACAAAGACAAAGACAAAAAAAAAAAATAATAATAATAAAGAGAAAAACGTGGCTCCCATAATTAAGTTCAAACTTGTATCATACACGTGTGGAGAAATTCTATCTATACACCGTATTTAAATTAGACTAATAAATACATAACATGTAATCAATTACACATATATACTTTTATTATGTAATCATAATCTATATCTATACTATATTAAAAGCACGAAGTCCTTTAGCAAAATATACTTCACCTTTTTTTACCCTTTAAAATATAGAGTTCACATTAGATAAAATAGTAATTTGAGTATTTCATTAATATTTAGAAATAATTATTTAACTAATTCTCCTATAATTTAGGAATAGCTATTTAATTATTCTCCTATTATTAACAGTCTAGGAAAGTTAATAAAATTCCGCCTAAATTTTTTCTTATTCGTTCTACTCCTTACGTACGTTGGAGTAGTTAAAAGCTTTAAGGTTTTGGAGACCTTTTTTTGTAGTTAAAAAAATTCTGCCTAGCCTAAATTTTCGCCCCTATGTTGGAGTATTACATTTGTTTATTTTGTAGTTAATATCTTTTAGGCTTAGGAGATCTTTTTGGTTAAATATTTTGCTTAAATCGCACACACAATTTTCTTTTTAGTTAGGAGTCTGTATTATTTGGTAAAATTCATAGTACGCGCATTGCGTGTGTACCTAATCTCAATATGTAAGTATACTTACTAAAAGTTATATTTGAATATAAAATAAAAATTTTAAATTTTGAAATTGATAAATATTCTAATTCTATATATTCAACTTTTCAATTTTAGCAAGAATACATAACTTTTGAAGAACATAGCCTAGAGCGAAATATTAATAAACCTTTTTACACTTAAAAATAAATTTCAAATAGGATAACATTGACATTTAATTATTTTTCCTAATAATTATAATTTTGAAATCAATTATAATATTATGATAAAATTATCAACTTAATTGTCCATTTTTATTTATTACTACATAACGAATCATAATATACATGGTTATTAAGACAAAAGCAATATTCATAAGATATACAAATTTCAAATTACTAATAAATTTTTTTGTATACGTTAACTTAATTTGTTACTTAAATAAATATTATTAGAAAAGGTCATGAATAAATGAATAAAATTCTTTATATATGTGTCAATTTCATTATCAATATTTATCATTTTTAAGAACTCAAACTTTTACTTATACGTATAAATTTATACGTAAAAATATACTAGAATCTAAATAAAATATTATATTTAAACCCATAATTTAACAGTACAACAAATTATATTAAAAATCTTTAAAGCTAAACCCATTAAATTTGAATCCCGAATCGCTTCTGTCCACTGCTATATAAGTTTAATAAGCAAATTTCTTCAAACGCTTAAATTTCTATTGTTGTCGCTGTTTCTCATGATGATGGATGTCTTTTGGATACTGTGTAAAAGTGGAATAATCATATACTCTCTTTTTTTCATCGACTATTCAACTCTATATTTATAGTATTCCTTGATTTCAATAGCCATTATTATATTTAAAACAAGCTACTAAAAGACAAGCACAATATACTACTCCTCCATCATTATCTGTGGAATTAGCATGAAAACAAGATTGCACTTCATGGTAAGTGTCCTAATTATTAGTTTATTTAGTTTAATACACACAATATTAGGAAGTATGCCAAAATTAATGACATGTTTTATTTTCCAATCAAAATCATAAAATGTATATGCGTTTTGTAAATCTAGGACTTTCTCATTCATCAAGCTACATTATCATACGAGTTTATCAAGATATATACCTTATTCTATAATTAATTTATCGCATGACCGTCCACTGGCAGTAGAGACAAAAATCATTACGCACACAACTGTAATCAATCATACCATAAAAATGGATCTAACTTGAGAAATAAAATGGAGAGGCTTAGTAATTATCATTATTTTTTAATAATAAATTAATGCAACTAGCTAATATATCCAAAAGATGAGTTAATGGTGAGTTATGAAGGGTCTACTCTGCTTACCCGAATATTACCAAAAAAAAAAAAAAAAAAAAAAAAAAAAAAAAAAAAAAAAACTGAGAGATGAAAAAAATATTCACACTCGATATGTACGCCAAATATTATAATGCAAGACATATACCCTGGCATATAAACCATTTTTCACACAATCATAGTTATGTTATAAGAATCCCACTTTAATTTGCAATTCTTATAATTACATCGAGGGTGAATAAGTATTTACGCCCAAGAAACATACCCAGAAAAAAAAGAGCCTAAAAGATACCTTGTATCCTAGACTAGGAAAAATCAGACTTATAGCCTGTTTGGTCAAATTTCTGCTTATTTTGAGAAGTGTTTTCTCAAAAGTACTTTTAAAAAATATGTTTTTGGTGAGAAGTAATTTGTGTTTGGCTAATTAATTAGAAAAGCACTTTTGAGCAGGAATTAGTGTTTGGCCAAGCTTTTGAAAACTATTTCTAAGTGTATTTTTCTCAAAAGTGTTTCTCCTCAAAAATATTTTTTTCCTTCCAAAAGCTTGGCCAAACACCTCAATTTTTGGTCAAAAGTGCTTTTGGCCCAAAAAAAAAAGCTTGGCCAAACACGCTATTACTTCAAAACAAACCTCATGAGCGCACAATTTGCGAGGCAAATACACGTATAGCCATTCTCATGGATGTTATTTAAAGATTAGTCACTACTTATTTTGTTCTGAAACTTTAAACTAAAAATGTTAACTTCAAGACAAAAAAGTTTTGTGCTGAAAATTTGAACTGCAAAACTAAAATTCAAAACGCACTTGCTAATTCCTAAATAGCAACCCTTTAGAGTGGCTACCTGATGTCATTTTTGCTCAATCTGCTAATTGCAGGCCCAAGAAAAAAGTGACAAAAATAGAATGATAATAACCACACAACATAATGATATTTTTCTCATTCACTTAAGCTTTGGTAGATAAATTTATCCGGCACATTTGCTGGTAAGAGATAGCAGGTATCACGATTAAAATAATTGAGATGCACTGGACAGATACCACCATCAAAAAAATATATATATGGAAAAGACCATTGCAACCTTAAAAACTAACTCATAGAAACCTGCCCAATGCATTGGTTAACATAATGCTTTCTCAGGAATTCCAAATACATAAAGGCAAAGTTTGTCAAGTGGAAATAATTACATGAAACTGAACCTACAGTGTAATATTTTTCACAAAACTTTCTTATTGCCCAAAGAAAGGGAATAAAAATTTCGTCGCGAAGTTGATCTTGGTATCATCTCTGAGTTGGATTTTCACTCAGGTGCATGATTTTCCTGCATCTGTACATTTTAAGTTTTGATGTCAATCAGAGACCTTCATAGAACTGTAATTTTGGACAATTTTCTTTCTGGTCAAAATGTGCTTCCACAAAATACAGCTAGTAAGCAAGAATGGCAGCATTAGATATACAGCAGATTCCCAATATCATCGACGCCATCAGTAGCATATGTGACCACATATTCAATCCTTTACCTGACAAATTAACCAGAGATTTTAGATTAATGAACAGCTCTTAAACTTAAACAGAAAATAATCTCTGTTTAGTAAACTTCAGCAGCCAAATTCAGGTGAATATGTTTCAGACAAACGTAGATTGCTTAAACTAATAACAGCTTTCTTTAACGCTATAAAGTCTATGTTTTCACCAAAAGCCCAAGATCCTCATCGTAAAAATCCATATATATATA